GGGGGGGGGGGGGGGTTATAAAACAGGGCAACGAAAACCAGGCTTAAGGAAATGGGCATTACATCGCTTGTAGGTGAATAAAGGAGCGGTGGGTGGTGGGTGGGTGGTGGGCCGGGGTGTAGGAGTCGGTACACAAAATACAAGGGTGGCCCCCCCACCACCCCCGATCCAAAAGAAAGACTCTTTCATGCTTTCACAACTCAGCCAACAAGCCCTTTCTCCTTCCTGACTTCCTGCCGTAGCTTTTTCTCGCTATTTCATAATAATTACTCGACGTTCCTTCGAGCCAGCTTCTTTTGTTTCGTCCGGCGGCGAAGTCTCGGGACTGCCTGATAGCTGCCCTCCGGATCGTCAAGCTTTCGCCCTGCCATCTCCGACCCCCCCGTCCGCTCGGGAAATAATCTCTCTAATAACCGAGGGGTGGCGAGGGGGGAGGTTAAATCTTTCAGTACGGTCGCCATTACGGTACGAGTTATTCCACCTACCAGTCTTCACCTCCGGGTCACTTCCGGTGCTACCTCCGGCTATGACCCAGAAGACCTCCAGCGTGCAAGATCAGTTCTGAAGAATTCCCTCAGGTCGCATAACGCTGATAAAATGTCGGCCATGTTTTAATGGAATTTTCAAAAAAAAAAAAATTCCGGTAATCATACCAATTTCATCCTTGCTTCCTTTCCTGGACACGGTCTACTCCCCCTCCCGGCACCCCCCTGGCCACCCATCGCTCTTCGACGGCAATGGACTCTTCTTGGCCATTGACGAAGATCCCGGATGGCTCTCGTGGGCTTTCGAAAATGACGCCATCGCACCCGTTACAATGACCGACCGCAACCACGATATGATACGGCATTGTCCGCGTGACGTCAGTCCCTAACGGCCGAGAATACGTTGTCCAAGCCGACCGGTTGTTAGCGCCCCTAGCGGGAACAATAGAAGCTCGTTCAGCGCGCGGTGTCACGTTTAATTAACGACTGAACCAACGCGCGTTTCCATCGTCTCAAATGTCCTCCCCGCCCCCACCCCTCCCCCATCATTCCTCGCTCCATTCCTCCCGACAATCAGTACGGCTAGTTTGATAATATAGATCGTACGTGGTTAGCCGTGTTTAGCGCGGGAAACTTTGATCCGTTTGAATGTCCGCCTGTATGGTCAAGACCCTGATGAAAACAGAAGATCGAGGAGAATGACAAAGGGGAAGTCCGAAGTGACGAGGAAAATAATACGTTTCCGATAGGATGGACGCGTTGAGGGTAGCAACGGGTAATATTATGTTCGGGTAAGGTAATTAAAGGAAAAACAAAAAAAAAAGGCTAATTAAGCCACGCAAACGAGGAGCTAATTAATGAAGTTTCGCGTTCGAGCAATTAGCCGGTTGAATGGAGGCGTCTTGAGTCATCTTTGAGAATACACAGCATCATCGGGATTAACCATGATTTTTAGATGGACCAGCCTCCGGCCGAGAGTCGTTACGTCATTGTCATTAAAGTCATTAACAGTCGATTTGTTTTGATGACTAATTCAAGTGGTTGAATAATTCATTGGATCTTTTTTGTTTTCGGGCGTTCGGATGACGTCACGTGACGATAAAAAAAAAGTGTTATCGGCGTAACGAGAAAAGCCGAGTAAAATCTGTCAAGGGAGGCTTTGTTCACCTGAAAGAATTTTTTTTTTATTCCATTGGTACAATTCCAATCACCGTATCAATCCTAACGTGCAGCATCCACGCCGGAGCAGACTGTCGGCAGCAGACCAAAGAGCAATCACGTTCGTTACATGAGATTGTAGATGGCGCGCGGAACTGGCACGTTCTGACGAGGTTTATACCTATGTGCATAGAGAGTGTGTCCTACGGCGTGGTTATAGCATCGACGCTAGTGTCACAGGCCGGAGTTCAGCAAGGCGTGTTCCTATGTACGCTGTGTACAGGTCGGTTCGCTACCCCACACGGGAGGGCACGTATGGGTGTTAGCATATAGACTGGCAAACACACCGGCACCATCTATGGTCGAGCTAACGAGGCTTTATGTGACGTCATTTTAATCATCCCTTGGCTAACGGAGCGCGTATGTCTACTAAGCGGAACTATAAATCTCGGATTACGAGCATACGCCGCCATTATCGAACGTTCCCCTATCACGACTTCGACCTCAAAACCCCGACGGATCCAGTAGCGACCGACCCAATCGTCACTGCAAAACGTAGGGAGCGGTTGCGAGTTGACTGACAGTTTTAAATTTCCCGCCCTAGCAGGCACGGGGAACCCCAGCGCCACCGCGGCGAATTCGAATAAGCAATCATCTTAATGGTTCTCTCGGTGGACTCAAGAAAATGGAGATTTGCGCTGAGGCGCTAAAGTGGGTCGCGCCGTGAGGTGCAGTGAAGCTGCTACTCGTGATAGCTTCCTGGCGGAAGTGCCAGATATAAATGTACGCGAGGAGCGAGGATAGAGAGGGAAAGGAAGGGGGCGGGGAAAAAAATTACAGCTTTGGGGGAATCCCCGTATTTGTCTTCTCTCTCGCGCTCGACTATAACGTATTACACGTGAACTTTATGTAGCAATTTTTTTTTAACGGCGTTAACCGCATATGTGGCGATATACATATATAGTATATCGCTTACTTTTTTTTTGTGAGAAAATTGACCTCGTTTACCAGAGTGGCTGATTAGAAGAAGTTTATAATCACCGTTAAGCGAGAGTACCGTAAAGGTAGCTAATTAGTTCAGAGAGTCACCGCAGCGTCAGCGCCACTGGCAGCAGCAGGGGCGGCGGCGGCGGGGGCCTATAGCGGTTACAGAAGAGGACGAGAGGGTGGACCTCCTCGCAATTTCTGTCAGAGAGTCAAGTGGACGAGACTCGGCTGGATGTTTCTCGGGGATGCTTGTAAGATGGTCGGTGGGAGAAGGCAAAGTGAAAAGGAAAAAAAAAAAAAAATTAAAGGACGAAGCCACGTAAGTTTAAACGGCAGAACGTGCAGAATGGTGGCAGATGGGTATGGTGGCGAATGCTGGTAAATTACGAGGGAAGGAGGTTAGGTTAGGTGAAATGAGGTTAGGTAAAGCGAAAGCACGAAGGAGCATCGGTAATTATCATATAAAGCTTCCACGCGGGTAGCAAGTACTAACCTAGCCTAACCCCCACCTGACTAAGCCTACGAGAGCGTGAAAACGGGCCG